TGCTTTTTATTCGGACCGGTAGGGGTAGAATAAAAGTTTGAATCGTTCCACATTGAATGAGGAATAGACTGCGCTTGCTTGGCTACCACAGTTATGAACAGGTAAGATGAATGATGGCCCTGACCGAACAAAGAACGTTTTTTATCCTGATCCGCTCAACTCGATTAGCACATGGAAGTCATGTGAATGCTTATGTGTGTTTAAGCGACTGCCGATTAGAACCGTCTAATCGGTGGCACGTTTGTTCTCCACTCCGACCGGCGAGATAGGGGTGGTGTTTCCAACCTGTGATCAATCGGCTCAACGAAGTGAGTTTTGATGGACGATTTTATTCAGACGGGAATTGGATATTTGTGTCAAGGAATATGGTTTGTTTGCACGTGTGCCGAGACCAGCGTGAAACCCCGTGTGACGATCGGACAGGCTTGTTTATACTAATCGGAGTCTGTTTACATACATATCTAGTAAGTTAAACAATTTGTTTTTCTCGTCAGCGAAATTGCTACACATTATTACATACAATGATTAAAAAAGGGCAGATTACACTCTCTAGCCGAATAGCACAGTTCTGAATGAGTTTTTGATGACAAAACCTATTGTCATGGATACAAAAATTGGTGACTAAGGTCTTTCACTTTAAGTTTCACATAATTTGACCGAATTTGTTTGAATTAGGTACTCTTAGTCATGTTGAATCAGTGCATTCACAGACTAGCGGAGTTCACCTTAATACTGATAAATGACTTCTCTAAAAGAGGTTCACTGTTGTCGTGCCTTAACATGGAATTACAGAAAGAGGGAGAAAGAGGAAGATGGACAACATATAAAGCAATAAAAGATGAAATCCACCCATAGAGATAGCATAGATAGACAAATAATAATGTGCGGGACTCACGAATCTGTGCATTGATGATGATGATCTCTGATGAGGATGAAACAGCTGTATAACGATTCGAATGCTTCCCAGTGGCTCGTGTCTGTGACATTGCGTGATAACTCACATTCGGTACAGATTGATGGTTTATTGATTACATAATTGAATACAGAATGATACAGTCGAATGTGTTAGATATCACCAAAGTGCATAGTTCAATTTGAATACGTCGGTGAATGTGTTTCGATTATACCTCAGATAAAGTAGTATCGATATGGCGGGAATGGGGATAGCTTTGAGACTGTTTGCATTGTGCCTTCTGGCAGAG